ATCTAGTCTCAGGTTGTTTAACTAGTCTCTGCTAGGCTCAATAGATCTAGGGTATACTGGTTTATTGCGGCTGCTGAAGTGCTCGGGAGAGTCCAACTAATTTCTAAGTTAAATTCAAATCTCTCTGGTGCTGAAATTACAAGTAACTTCAGCACTTACAAATAAGTGGGTTGTTAGTTAGATGGATCATGATTGGTTAATATTAAATACTTTACCTTGGTAAAATATCTAAATTATCCAATCATAAAATGTAGTCTAGATCAGGTTCCAGTATTTCCATGTCTGAAACTGTATGACAAGCTTTTTATCAAACCAACAAATATATTAAAATTCTTCAAACTTGTTTTAAAGTAAATTGAATAACTCATTTTTGCATGGAAAATTGCTTGATAATTTTTACTTTTTGAAACTGTATGTTACGCATTTTTTCCGTAAATACATTTCAAAAATGACGAAAAAATAAATCACATTGAACATTTTCTGTGACGTCACATGTTAATCAATTTCAAACAGAAACATAAAGTTATTTCTGTTCAAAAAACAGGCTAAAATTTTAAATCATTTGATTGTTCCTAAAAACACCTAGTAGTCGCATACCAATTATTACAGTTTTTGTTATAAAACTGTATGAAATTCACTATATACGTAGATAAATATAGGCTTCCCTATATACGTAGATAAATCTGCATTTTTATATAAATATTTTCAATCTTTTCTTGGCTCGAACAAATTAATTTACTGATCTCTCCCATAACTTCAAAATATCCGTGTTTAGATCAATATTTCTGCGCCACAGACATCAACTTTTTGAACAAACAGATGAAAACGCGTTTTAAGCCACTTTTTGGAAAACTTTTGACAAAAATGAGTTTTTTTGGCGCGCGCTACGACCTCAAAATTTGTATAACTGGCTCCGAGGGCGACTTTATGATTTCCTGAGAGAAGGCGTCTACCCACCCCATCTCAATCGGCCCCTATGTATATATATGATTTTTTAAGCTTAAGGTTGAATGAAGTGTTGATTTTGGTCCCGAAACTAAAGATGTGATGGATGGAGTATTCAGTTTCAAATGATATAGAAAACTGGATGAATCCAGAGTTTCTAAAAAATTTTTTGTTCATTTGATTTTTGCAGAGAAGCATTTTCCTTCCCCGTCAAAGTATTCAACTTATATTTTGAAAAATCAATCGAACTTACAGACAGCTTTTGACCCGAAACCCGAAGTTGAAATAACGTTGAAGTAATCAACCAGGAGTAACGTTGATAACAGTTTTCAAAAGCAGCTTAAACCCAAGTATATGCATCAAAAATCTTTTGAAAGTTGTATTAAAAACAAATCAAAATTCGAATTATCAATATAAATCTATGAAAATTGGAGTTCATGCAGAAACGTTGTACATTAAAAATTTGCCTCGATTGTTTTTGCGACATCACAAAGATTGATTTGGTCGTTGATTTAAATGATTTAAATCGCCATCTGTCTCAGTTTTGGTCTAAAATAACCAAGGTTTGTTGGTATTGGTTTTCCAGCTATTGTCAAAGATTATAAATTATAGCCATATCAAATTATTCATGGCCCGATGTACAATGGATTATTACAAATACCGTGATTCAGACAACTTGTATCTAGAATGAGTAACAGTTTATTTTTCGAAAATTGCGGAACTCGCTGTGAGTACAATTTTCAAGTGTTCAACAGCACACAAGATATCACACGATAATATAATTTTTCCCAAATTTCACGAAGCAACTTTATCACTCTTCCCGTGTTGACCTCCATAGACCAAAAATGCTAATCATACAATTCCATAATTTAAGTCTACGAATAAATACTAATCATACAAATTTCATTTTGCTAAAATAGTTTCATCAGAATTTCGAAGAACTACTATCTTGTTTTGGTATAAAATTCCTTGTATTGTACCACATGAACTTTTGTCACACAACTGCTAATAATTCAATTCCAATATATGGAAAATTTATGGCTAGCATTTTTTTGATGGCGACAGCAAAAATTTTTCCAATTATTTGAAATTACCGAAAAAAATTTTGTCGCTATTTTTTTTTTCGAAAGTTTGCAAACTAGTTTCGTCAATTGGAAATATAGTTATGTTAGCGAAATATTTTTTGAATTTTTTTTGCGGTGGATGATTGGTAGAGCATTCCAGATATCGAAAATAAAGAGTGGTGAAATGAGTTTCACTTGTTAATTTTTGCGCATAAGGTAACTTTTCCCTGTTCTTCAGGTCACTTTTCAAAACATCCTTAATGTTTATTTTTGTTTTAAGGATGGGTCAATTTCAGGATTAGTCAATTAGTTAAGTTTACACCAAAGTAAACGAATGCTCAAAAAAGAAATGCTGTGCCAAAAAAAAACACCTTTGAATAAAATTTCAGCCAATTATTAAAATACTACCAAAAACTGCTCGTATCAGGGCGAAGTTATTAAAGTCTATGGGGCAAAAATAACATCAAAAAGAAAATCTAATAAAAAAATTTTTTTTGAGTTTTTTTGTTAAAATCATTCCCACATATGCAATATTAAATTCAAAGTGATAAATTACGCTCCCAGTAACAAATCAATTATGGCAAATAAGCTTCGTTCAACCAATTTCAAACGATTTCTAAGACGGATCAAATCTCTGCTTACGCAATAATAGCGCGAAATATATCGCGCGGTAATTGTCTCAAGTTGGCCAAAATGACTATCTTTAAGCCCCTAAACATTACAAAAAATGATCACAAGCGAAAAATATTTTCAAATTAAACCTCATGACAACAATACCTTTTGAATGTTATAAGAAAATTTTGTCGAAAATGGCTAGTTAAATAGTCGAATTTTGTCAGAAGAAAAAAAAACCACCCAAGCACAAAAATTCCGTAACTTTCGTTTCGAAAGTCGATATAATGAACAGTGGTAGCCAGTTTGCGCTAAATCAATTGCAATCGACATTGAGTATTTGTTGAATTGATCCGTTGAAATGCGAAAATGGGAAACTTTTATGACGTTCATATATCAAACGATGAACAGGTCTTTGGAACTGCTGTTACATTTAATTAATTTTTCTGTTGCAATTAAATGAAGATAAGATTGCAATTTTAGTCTTCCCGATAATTTCGAGTGTGTTGTTTTTTTTGTTTCTTAAGTAGTTAAGATTATATGGAGTAATTTTTCCCCACTTTTTGAAAGCCTTGTCCTTGTTTGCTTGCTTTTTATAACAATTCATCTACTAGCCGCGGAAATTTTACGGAAGTTAACGGTTTTCTTCGAAGCAAAACTGTGAAAAGTTAACCGTCACATAAATACTTTGTGATTTGATTTAGTTCAGTAATGCTTTCTAAAAATGGTGTCCTATAATTTAATGACATACAATTTAACACCGTACTTTTAAACACTTAGTCATTTCTCTACTAAACAATTTAAATCGACAACAATATAACTCTTGTATTCCAATTTAACACAGTACAATGAAAAACTTGTTTTATCTTAGTTATACTTGCTAGAAGGAGGCTTCCTAATTTATTTAAGACTCTTATCAACAAGTTTGTAATTTAATTTCAATTAGACTTTTCGCTAAACCATTATGATTACTAGAAAAGCTGCTTGTGCTATTTCACAACACTTTGGCGTAAAATTTCTAACAAAAATTAAGTTCTGACAGTTTTTGTGCCAACAGTTCAAAAAAAAGCTGACAAAGCGATCAGGTCATAAGTTTAAGTTCGAGAATGATTCTAAAATATATTGATTTTTAGGCTTTTGGCATTGATTAAACCTTTTTTAAATTTCTAAACTGGCTGAAAAGGTCTAGAAATTTAGACCATATTAGTAAAAGAACGTCTAATTATACGCGGGCTTTTGAAAATTATCGAACTATTGCTTGTTTTTGGTTCATTTTGGAATGATTCATTGAAATTTTGGCAAGGTCATTTCATTTTTTAAATTGCTAAGGCAGCAAAAAGTAGGGAGTGAAATTGTAGGGTTTTAAGTTGTTTAGAGTTAAAAAGGGGGAAACCCTAAAAATATATAGTGCCATTTTTACACAAGTTGTTAAAATAACTAGCAAAACTGTTTTTTTTTCACAAGTAAATCTTGATTGTCATTATATTCAGTCGAGAGAGGACAATGAACTGTGATTGCTGAAATCAACAACACAATTGGTTGTTATTCAATAGATGAACAGTGATCCATACACACGCGTGTTTAATAAAGAACATTGTTCCTCGCATAATTCATAATGCTTCTCAAAAACAACTTTTTCTGTTTTTCAAAAACAGCTTTTTTTGCACCACGCAATTCTATGCGACACGACTGTTCATAATTTTGTTTGGGAATAATGCAAATAGTTTTTTTCTTACTAAAGCTAGGTCATAAATAGAAAAGTAGATATTATTGCAAATTTTTAATAACAGAGATAGTCAGTTCGACTTTTTTGCTGCAGTGCCAATCTTTTATCCATCTCTCCAGAAGTAAAACAGAAAGGCGATCAATAGAATCCTACGAAAAACATTTTGTTAAGTGTGCTCTGCCTTTGATCTGCCTTCGATCAAATTGCCTTATTTTTATTTAAAGAGAACAAAATTACAATCCAAAACGTTTCAGAAACTGAATGAGATTTCCAAAGGAACTTTTTTTTTCTCGAAACACAAAATTAAAAAAACCCAAGCATGTTTAAATTAGACTTGTTGAAATTTTTCATCTTAGATGTGCAAAACTTGTAAATTCAAAAGAGCTCTTTTTGGCATTTGATGAGTTATAATGGAAAGTTGAAACCATGAAAAAAATTATTCAAAAAAAAATCTTTTTTTTTCAATCGGTTTGTTTCAATCTTGAATTACTCGTTGATAATGAAGATACTTTTTTCAATACGAAATTCTGAAAACGCAGTAATTTTGTTCAAGAACTAAAGTAAACATTAAATTTTGTTAGATATTCCGAACTAGTTAATGTGTTTAGTTAAATCATGTTCTCTCGTCCAGCATATATAGTTTGATATACTGTTCAATTATCAACACGGATAATTTTCATCTCACTGGTTGACATCATTCTGACTTCATTACCATCGAAATATCTCATTTCTAAGAGATTACTTCTGTCGGAAGTAGTCACCTTTCCATTCAAATTAATAGAGTGACATTTTTTATACCACCAACCACCTCCTCCTCCAGATTCTTCAGCACAGTTTCCTTTCACCCATCTGTCTTGGTCCTTGTCATGAGCAGAGAAGGACATTCCATTGTGAAGGTCGAAGCCTCTATCTGTAACAGCGGTGTTCTCCCCGTTCTCAATCTTGGCCACCATTGTACCAAAAGTTAATCTGTAGCTGGGAGCAGGGCCAACCTTGAAGTCTAAAAAAAAATTTTTTTTGAAAAATACTCCCAATAATGCTACAGCCAGAAATAATCTGACAAATTTATTTTAAAGTGCTGGTATAAACTAAACTGAACTAAATGATTAAAATTAAATGAAATAAAAAAAAAGAGTCAGAAACAATTTAATTGCCGACCTAGTTATTGACAAAACAAATTTTCAAAAAGTGTGTCCCAGTGGTATCTCACTAAGTCATATACAAAAGCAATTTTTTTAATATGCCAAATAAAAGTATTCGCAAAGTGTCTGAAGACATATCGCGACACCGGAAGTGCATCTTTTCTTCTATTAAGTTGTTTTCATCGGGTTCACTGTCTGTGTCAAATTTTAGTCTTTTGTGTTGCTGTTGTCCTCTACAATGTCTTTATCAGTGTTTTTTAAATTATTTTAGGAATCTGAGTTGCTACCAGGTGTTTCTCTGCGACTTGGACGAGTAACTCCAGCTTTTTCTTTATGTTTCCGATAACTAATTCCTGGTTAACTTTATTCAAAAGTTTATCAGATAATTCATCACGTGGATGTATAAATATTCATCAATGTAGCTTAGGTTAAAATACGGCTCTTCTACCACTTCCTCCCATATACCTTTGACGGATATGAACAAAAATTTGACAGTGATAACAATGATTTTTCGAAACTGGTTGTTTGACAATTTGTGTTCCCACCTGCAATATAAAATCGAAGACCAATTGCCATGACTAATAATGATCTAAAATTATTTTTATAGAAAAAATTGCATGCAGGCCATGTTTTGAGGGCTCTGACTGTATTTTTGTCTGGGTCAAAAATAATTTTCCCCCAAAACTATAATGTTCGAAAAAAGAATAAATGGAGACAATTTTTTCAACAAATGTATTTCAGAAAAACTCATCGGGAAAAAACGTAAAGGAAAAAATCAAATTCATGGAAAAATATAAGCGACCTTTCCTTATTTGAACTGCCACATGATGCAATTGAGAGACAACTGTAAGGAAGCAACCCGCACCGGAGCATCATGGATAATAATCGTTTATAATGGAAAGCTGTTGTCTAAAATGTTGTCATTATAATCAATTATTGTTGCAAATTTAGGCCACGAAATCTATTATTTTCGTAAAATTACAATCCATTAAAATCCATTATAATGGATTAAAATCCAATTAAAATCCATTGTAATTGATTATAACGGATTATAATCTTTACATTTTTTAACTCACGGACTACTCGCAATCTAAACCTACGAATTAACCCTCGCCTACCCCTCACTTTGCCCCCCATCTGTCGTCAATGTCCATACCCCCTCCTCCACTAAACGGGGGGTAAACTGAGAAGGGGTAAACTGTGGGAGGGGGTGACTATAACAGAGGGAGGGGGTGACTATACCAGGGGGAGGGGGAGGGGGAGGGGGTGGGGTGGTGTAAGCTGGGAGGAAAACGGGGGGGGGGGGGGGGGGGGGGGGGTAAACGGGGGGGGGGGGTGTAAACAGGGTTTGTGTGTGTGTGTGTGTGTGTGTGTGTGTGTGTGGGGGGGGGGGGGGTAATCAGGGAGGGGGTAAACGGGGTATTTAAGACAAAAATTAAAAAAAGTTGTAAATTGCATGACTAACCTCTCGAAAAAATCCATTATAATTGATTATAATCGAATTTAAGGGATTTTATTGGCATACAAAAAATATAAGAAACATGTTACATTTTTCATTTTGTTTTAATTATAATCGATTATAATCGATTATAATTGATTATATTGATGTAAAAATTAATGAATTTTAATCCATTTTTGATGTATTATAATGGATTACTTTTGTAATTGTATAGATACTGACTATAAAATTACAATATAATCGTTTGTTATCCATGGAACTCCAGTGCGGGAAAGATCCCTACGGTTGCACTAACCTACAGTCGCGGTCGTGACCAAACAGGATAAAATGATGTACAAACAAAAGAGAGAAGCTGGTTGGTTTCTAGAATTTGGCGAAAACGTTCACCAAAATTTTCGACATACCACGGGATTGGCTAACATATTTGTACAAAGGAGACACAAAACGCGTCAGAACTGCGATAACTTCATAAAGCAACCCAAGATGAAAACTTCTCAGAAAAAACTTTCCTCATAACAATTACAGTGGGCTACGGCAGTTTGCTAGATACTCCAAACGCACCAGGGTGAGTCAAATAAAACAATCATCGAATAGTTTTCAGTGTGAAACAATTGTGATCCAGGATCAGACAGAAAGCGAAAAATGAATTTGCCTTGTTTGCGACTCCTACCATAAGAGAAATAGCTGGTAATATAGACAGTACGACATTTCTTAGAAAGTTAATAGGAGAGGAATAGGAACAAAACAATAGGACGTTACTTAAAATCAAGATTGGTAAAAGCCGGTGGCGAACAATTTTCCAAACTAATTACGCAAGCCCGATTTCCTTTTTATATAAAGGATAAAAGATATTACATTTACCAATAAAATCAGTACCGAGTTTTAACCAACGAGATGTAAAGTGTGCTTCAAAGGGGTCAAACAAAGTGTAAAGTGCGATTAAAAGTGCTATAGATGACGTTATCACAATAATTGAATCAGAGCGTTGGATCGCTAAAGGCGCGGAAGGTTAGTTTGGCCAGGGGAGATCTTAGGTACCAATATCCTATTCAGGGGGCGGATCTAGGATTTTTTAGAGGGTGGCGGATTTTCAAAAAATTTTCAAAAATTTTGACAACCTTTTTTTTAGATCGACCAAATTGATTTTTCGGAGCTCTCGTAAAGCACTAAAAAGACGCTGATTTGGCCAAATTTTTAGCGCCGCAGGCAACTTTTTGAAAAAATAGGTCAAACAATGTCGTGTTTCGAAAAATCGCGTTTTTTTTTTGGTGCGCTTCCCCTCAAAGTTAGTATATATTGGGGTCGAAACCCTGAGGGGGAAAGAGAACGTCAGAACCCCCTCCCCGCCCTCTAAATCCGCCCCTGATCCTACTGTCGTTCAGCTCAGAAACCCATCACAAGAAAGCGCAAATGAAGTCAACTACAAGCAAGTAGAATCGGAGAACAATTAAGTTAACTGTAAATGTTTTATTTTCCGTCGATATGTATCTTCCGGGCGAATGTTACATACATGTTTTTATGGCGCTCCTGGGTGTTATTCTTTTTAACATCATGACCGGCAGAACCGTTAACGAGCACTCCGCGCCGAGCGGATGCTCACATTAACGCCCTTAATAGGCCTAAACCGCCGTGGCGGAAGGGTAGTTCGGAACGCGAAGCCTTCCGGATTATCGTGAATAGCTTTTTAACCTAGTTAAGATCGAAAATTCACGAACCGGGAAGGGTGGGGGGATTCGCGGTCCTGTCGTCCCCTGAGAGGTTTGTGATCAAAAACACTTAAAGATATAAAACCAAACAAAAAGTAGTATAGTACCCAAGAAAAACAAAAACATAAAAAATAACCGAAAAAACCGAAAACAGTAAAAAGTAAAAAAAAATCATTAGAAATCATCCCCCAGACAAGATGTGATCCGACCCTCCCGTTTGTTGTTGATAGATATATTGTTGACACAGGCATTTATATCAGTCAGGGTTGTTACGATCAATTTTGTAGCCCGTTTGTGAGGCTTGTACTGTAGGGTTATTTGAGCATTTAAGCACGTCAATGATAAATTGCGCTCAATCGGAAGGGTCAGCTGATTTGCGCTCAATTCGGAAGGATCTTGGGAGAAGACTGATCGGCAAGCAGTACAAGGAGCAACAAGAAGGGGCTCAAGGACAACAACAATCGACTGTTGGGTATCGTTAACAAGTTTTGTATCCCTTTTGTACAAAAAGTAAGATAGCAATCTGTGGGAGGCTCGACAGTGCTGCACTGTAGTGACCCTTCACCGAACTGCGAATATCCGAGTTAAGCACCTTAATTCGGATATTAAACAAACCCGGAGGGGTATAGTATTACTAATATTATTACTTATATAGCCTATATTAATACTCTGTAATACCGTTTTTCAGTGAAAAACACAGAAAGCAGACCGGTTTTTAGGTCGAAATAGCGATATTTTGATCCCCCCACTAGTCGCGATTTTGAGATATTGATATTTTTTGAAACGCAAAAAAAGCACTAAAGTAGTGTAGTACATCGTAACTTCACTACCATAATAAATAGAACCGGTTAAGTCTAGTTCGAAAGTGGTTGGAACTATTTTGGAACCAAAAACCGAATTTTCGTTATTTTTGAGAAAACGAAACACTATAAATTCAGAAAATTTTTGAAATTTTTGAGTTAGAACAGTAAAAATAGTTGTTCGGACAACGTCCACTAGTGAATCTACAGGTTTTAAAACCCGCTTCCCGAAAGGCTTCCGGGTTGCAGAGAAATCGAATTTAACGTGTTTGATTTGGTGGATTCATCAATCCGAAGGGGTACAGGTAGCATAGTTTTTCGCAACTTTTTTCAACTAAAGCGTTTTAGATCGGGTCTTTTGCATTGAACTAGAAGAGTATAGACTTTCTGAGCTCGGATCAATTATTTTTAGGTCGAAAGAACAGAATTGCGAAAAAGTTAGGCGGAACCTATTAGAGAGAAATTTCTTGACTTTAGAAAAAAGACATTTTGGTTAATAACTTTAGAACTACTAGGCATATCGAGTTGATCTTGGTGTCAATAGATCAGAAATTAGCTGAAATTACTGATAGGGACAAAAGTTTTTCGAAAAAGTAAGCGTGAAAATTTTTTGAGGTTGTTTTTAGCAATTAACCAATTTGGGAGGGTAGAACCCTTCACGTTTTATAAATTTCTTTTAGAAAAGCCCTTATACCCCTACCAAAAGGTAATAGCGATTGAATAAAGTAACTTTAGGCCGTTCTAGACGAAAAGGGAAGGCTAAAGGCACAGAAAAACCTTAATCGAGCCGAAGTTAGGCGAGCGATAAGACCCTTCACCGTTAGCGTGAATTGTCAAATAAGAGGC